CATGACAAAATTTTAAATAGTTAAAATAACGAAATTATGTAATAAATTTAAAAGAAATCTTAAAAGTAGAAAAATAATTATAATAGAATTCATAATATTCATATTAATAATAATTTACTATTTCACAAAATTAATAACAAATTATGTAATAATAGTACAATTATAATTTTATGGATTATTAAATTCAATAAATAATTAATATTTTAAGAATTTAAATAACAATATTATTTCAATAACTAAATAATATTGTAAATAACTAATTTCACTTATATCAATTAATAATTATAGAAAATAACTATCRAAAACTTATATTTATTAGTAATAATTTTACAATAATAGTGTATATTCATTATATACTAATATATACTATAACTAATATTTATTTTATTTTCAGTAATTATTTATTGTTTTTTATAAATATGCATTCAGTAATTATTTATAAATCTATTTTTTTTATTTAATAGAAATTTATCAATAATTATTGGATATTAAACAACTATTATTTAACTTTTGAAATTTAATTTATCGTATTTATTGTATTTTTGTTATAACTTTTTTTTAGTAATTATATAATTTTTATAATTTATAGATTAATACTTATTATAGATTAAACTATTATTTGAGATTACACTATTTATTGACTAATTTAGTATATTTTATTATTTATTATATTTTTGTAATTATTGTATTTTTATTATATATCTATTATATTTTCATTATAAACTTATTTTCAATGATTGTGTACGTTTGTTATAAATTTTCAACAATTATTGGAGATTAAACTATTGTTGTTTATTAGAGATTAGACTATAAATTTAGTTGAAATTAGGAGTGTTCAATGATTGGTTCAATTCAATTGCAGGTTGTTTCGCCAACTAAATTGATCTAGTCAAGTCCATAGTTTGTCACTCGAAACCGATTGACCATTACTAAAAACTCATCAAATCGGGTTGTATCGTTTTGGGTCTATTTTCGGTTTAGTTTGTTTGTTCAAAAGATTTAAACTTAAAAATTAACTTTAAATTTCATAAATTACAATGAGATTATTAAAAAATAAATTACAAAAATTAAATGTATGATATAAAATATTTTAACTAAGAAATATGAGAATTTTCCTACTTTCTAGTATTAAGAAATTAAATTTAAAATATTAAATATTAATATATATTTATTAAACCAAAGTCGATCTGAAATACTAGAAAACCGACCAACTCTGATTGAGTTTGGTCAAATTGTTTATTAAAATGTTAAAATATAAAACAATTATATACTCTTATGTATTTCTATTGTTTAACTTTATCTTAACAAAGCCCCTGCATCCCACGGGTCCCGTCACCATGCCTCTCCTTACTCCATTATCCCTACCCTACATTTTCTTTGACTTTCTCTCCTCTCCCCTTCCCACCACTCCCATTAAGCTATGTCACCCAACTACCTAAAAATATTCATATAATCTCTCTCCTAAGGTATCTTATTTAAACCAATAGGAAAATATCATGTTGACCAACTCCCTAATCAATTTCTAAAATGCATCCCCCCATCTATATCCACTCTCCCTCATTTAAAATATTTATATTAATTAATAAATAGTTAAATACAGTTAATATTTAATCCCACCCATATTCAATGAGTATTAAATAGTGTTATTACCAAAAGTTAATAAATACGGTTAGTAAATAACCAAAAATTAAATATTCTTATTAGTACGATTAGTAAATTACCAAAAATTAATAAATATCATTATTAATTAACTCATTAACAACATTTATAGAAATTGCAAACTCTTTAACTAATTTCTATAAAATTGAGAATTATATTTAAMAAMTATCAAAAAGTATAAAATTTTAGTTATTGTTATTATTATAATTAATAACTAGATACAAATGGGGGAACAAAATATTATAATGTTAGAAAATGAAATTATTAATTAATTTATATTGAAAAATAAAAGATAAATTAGTGTAACTTTTTTAGTAAACTACCAAATAAAAATACATATTTAATAACAATTTAAAAAATTTTCAGTAAATCCCCATAGTTACACAAATGTAATAAAATTTTCATAAAATTTCATAAAACTACATTTTCATAAAATAACATTTTTGAAATTAAAAGATATAAAGTTTTTGAAAATTTATTTAAAATGCATTAAATAATTATTGAAAATTATTAGAATATTTTGAAAATTTTATGAAAATTTATTACATTTTATAGATTTTGGAAAACCATTGATAAATTATGTAATTTTCATTGCAATTTATTGAAAATTAGTAAAGATAAATGACTATGGGGAATGGAAAACTATAATTTGAACAAATAATTACACAAATTATTAAGATAAATTAGTATAATATTGGAAAAAGGAAATTATTGGTTAGTTTATATTAGAAATTATAAGATAAATTAGTATAATTCTATAAGTAAACCATTTAAAAAGAAAATAAATTATTTAATAAAAATTTGAATAAATTTCAAAATTACACAAGTACAATAAATTTTCCAAATTTTTCATAAAATTACATTTTTGAATATTAAAGACAATTTAGTGTACTTTTAGAAATTTACCATGTGGTTGATACTCAATATGTTCTTTTGGTCATTTCTATCATCAAATTGAATATTGGGTTGACGGGGACAATGTTTTCAAAACTGGATCAAACAGATGGTTAGATCGGAAAAGTTGGGAACCAGACACAGTTTCACCTCAAAACCGCTTTTTGTCCAAAAACCGTTTATTTGGTTAGTGAACCACTGACTTGGGTGATCGAACCGTCAACCCGAACAATAGTTTTTGGCCTTTTTTTTTGTTTTTCTAAATTTTTTTTGTCAGAGTGGGTCATCCGTTCGGACAACAATCGGACCGTTCGACTTCATAATGGTTCCCTATTTGGTCCAATTTTAAAAACCTTGGACAGGGAGTAGGTGCCTTGCCTTGAGCTTGGCTTGGTGTGTGGCATGGCCTAGCCCAAGGCCCAGCCCATGGACCAGCCCAACCCACGGCATGGCACGAGCCCGTGCGTTCTCGAGCCGTGGGCCGTGCTAAACCGACCCCCCCCCAAATTATCCTAGAGGAGGGAGGCACAGCTCGAGACGCCTCGTGGGCCAACATAGCACGACTCGCACTTTGTGCAGGTCACATGCGGGTCGTGTCGCGCTGATCCAACACGACCTAATTTACATCTCTACTTGAACCCGCCCAATGCTGGGGACAAGGCAAGAAAATTCGAGAATTCTCCATCCTTAATGAGGAGTGGAGTGCCTTGCCCCTGAACTCGCCCAAGATTGAGGAGTGGTTACCTTGCACTGAACCCACGTGACATTAGGGATGGGGCAGGGATGGGGTAGAGTGTCTTGACTATGGGGCCAGAAAAGGGATGGGGTGGATTGCCCTGAACCCACCCGTAGAGTGCCTTAACAATAATTATTTTTTATAAATCAACATTAAATGAAAAAAAATTATTAAATCTTTCAGATTTTCCCATACACCGCATGGATCCCTGCTAGTACGTTAATATAATCCATACACATGCATACGGGTTCTTTCACTCCTTTGGAAGTGTTTAACAGGTTGCATGCCAGTTAAAACTGAATTATCTAACAGACAATCCAGGGTTTGATACTACGTGTTCAAGGGGAGGAGTTATTAGAACATTAATTTTTTCATTGTCCACACACATATTGCTATTGGGTCTTAGGGTCTCAACCTGGCGTGATGGTTGCTGCCAGGTCTGTTCCTCTCAAGCTTTATTCTCCTTGGAAAGTTTTGTGATGCACTGAAGTTGATTATGTTATTGCAACTTGATCATGTCTTTGTCTTTATAAAGGAAGATTCTCAGATTGTTAATTATTCCTTCTCTGTAGGAATCTACTTGAAGGATGTTTGTAGAGACATGTCACATATCGCCCTTAGCTCAGTGATGTTTTGTCCTAGACATTACAATAAGGTAAGCTCACAATCTTGCTAGACATGATGTTACTCTATCTAGTTAGCTTTATACAAGCCAGCTGTTAATGTAATCAAGCTTGTAAAGTAAAATGTTTGGGAAATGTTAATTGCCGACGAATAATTTCTTTCTTTTTTTTTTTTTCTTTGCATCAATCAAATGCATCTTACACTACACATCTGTAACATTGTGCAAGGAATTAACGCCAATGGCAAATGGCGGACCCACTAAGTTGATAAAAAGTATCAAAGATATGTTGTGTATGATGCAATAAAGGCTCAGTTGAAAAGGAGTATAAATGCAAATATGTAGAGTGTAAATATATATAAAATAATATAGAATATATGAAAATGTACAGACAGGTCCAATGTAAATATATACAAAACCTAAAATATAAGGTTTTGTACTCTACACATTTGCATTTGTACTCCAAACTGAGCTAAAGGTACAAGAAAAAAAAATCGTAAAGCTGGTATAAACTTTCCAATCCACGTACCAAAAAAAAAAAACTTCATAATCCACGTCCATGCAACTGCAAAGCAGTCCGGATCTGCTCCTCATAGAGCACTTCTCACACCAATTTCACATGCCTCAACCACACATCAAGACCATCCCCTGTATTTTGTGTTGTTATTCATAAAGAGATGTTCCAATACACAGTAGGATGGAGCTGTGAGTTCAGTGTGAGTTGCACTCTGTGAAGAGTAAATCCCGATTCATATCTTGGCTTGTCTAATGTCTATGTGTCTCCTACAAATGATAATACTTGGCTTTGGCCAGCTTGCCTTCGCTTCAAGTCCAGGGCACCATGATCATCTCTCTCCCCCCCCCCCCCTTTTGTATCTGTTTAGAATTCTTTTGCAAGGCAAATAAGAAATAGGGTTCAACAATGCTATTGGAAAGGCATGATATCGGAAAAATATGTACACAATCAACAATATCATAAAAGTGGTAACCAATGAGGAGGGGGTGTTTGATTGGTCAAAACCCTTTTTTTTTTATCCAACAAGAAAACTTTATTAATGAAGACTGAAGCAAGCAAAGCACAAGGCAGTAGCTAAAAAAGAAGAGACATTTATTCACTGAATGGATAAAACAGAAATATTCCAAACATACGCACATACGAATCACCTATGCCTAAAAGCTGAATGATTTACATGCACGCGTATAACAGAACGAACCCTAGGCCTTTCAAACCAATCTAACTGTACCAATGTATATCTCACGTACAAAGTTGAGTACATAGCGTTCTGATCTGAGACTCAGATGGATTTGATAGTGCATAAATTCTGCTTTTCCCATTGCTTGGGCATGTTAAGTTGAACTGGCCTCCATTTTGGCTCTCCTACAAGAACAGGTTGAGCTCACGTCAACTTCATGCATCAAGCAAAAATTAATATATGTGCATTACAAGCCTTGTCACAACCACTTGGATTCACATAAATCCTGACAACATTCTATGGTTCCGTCAAGTGAGAAAAGGTAAAATTGAAGGGATATTCTTGATGTATGTTGTAAGATGCTTTAAGACTTCCCTAAAGGGAAACTGCTTGGTGTAAGGTAAAATCTCAGACTGACAAGCGTGTCACTTCATGAGAGAGAGAGATTAGGTCCATATCCAGTCCACCCCTCCCAAGACTCCCACCCTTTACTCACCTGAGGGACGCATAACTAGGGGTGATCATGGGCTTTCGACCCAAGTTACTATTAAATTTTATGAAATATAATTATTTTATATTTATATAACATATAATATATGTATAAATTATTTGATAAAATTTATATAATACAAAATACTGTATCGTCTTATCATATTTATATGCATACTGCATATTATGATATACTATATTGTGGGCTGGGCCTGAACACAAACAATTTCACAAAGCTTGGCAAGGTGGCAAAGGAGATCGGATTCAGTCCTCACAAGACAGTTGCAGCCTTGCATTGGGGATATCTCCATACGTATGCTTTTTTTTTCATGGGAGATATTCCCAATACAAGGCTGAAAGGAACTGCAAACGGTGTGAGCACGGTCAAGCACGGTCAATGAGTGGAAGCATTAATTACCAGGCAGTACATTTGCTCTGACTTGCAGCTCCATCTTGAAGTAGGAATGCAGCTCAAATAATGGCACCAGGAACAATGGTCGTTTGCATTAACCCCTCGGAAAAGCATAACCAAGCCAGCGGTAAACCTGTCAAAAGGTACAGTTGCACTGAATTATCAAACTGATAATAATTAAAACAACTTTTCTTGTCCTTTTACAATTCTGCCATTTATATGCAATTTCTCATACAGTGCTAACCGGTATGGTATTCTTTATATATTTCTTGTTCACCAGGAAAGACTTAAGAACTTTATTTGTCTTGCCCATTGTTAGAAGAATATAGTATTAAATGGGGGAATCTGACTTTGAAATGATTTTAGCTCAAAATTAAAAAGAAAAGAAAACAGAAAGAAGCTTGGAAAAACAATATTGTCAAAAAGACCCTTCCAACCATTTACAAAAGCAGAAAAGAATCACTATACAAAGAATCCCTGACCACCCCAGATTTTGCTAGAGCATTCGCCACACTATTCAGCTCTCTAGGGATCCACCTGAAATGACAATGAATCTTTCTTCTTCAACAAAGGGCAGACTTCAGAGGCATTTTTTTGGGGCTTGTATCTGTCAGTGGAAAATTGGGTTCATATGTCGGATAGTCAGATGAGTTCTCAACATTCAACACAAATAATATCATAAGAGGATGGCAATAATAGAGGTTCAAGTGGGGCACCTATACAATACCACCAATCTGAACCTGCATGCAGCTTGCCACATTTGCATCTTTATCAGAGATTCAGAGGCTATATCAAAAAGCTCTGGAAACACTTCCATTAGAGGTTTGTTACCACACAATCAATCCTTCCAAAACACAACCTTTTGCCCATTTCCTACCATGTACGACACACTTCTACTGAACAGACCCTGTACTTGTTCAATTCCCTTCCAAACAGAACACGATAGGTTAAGCAACTGCTCCAGGTTACCACCCCATATTCCACCTGAATTACCCTACATAGCTTACCCTTCTGTTCCTCAAACCTCCAAAAACATTTACCTAAAAGAGCTCTATTGACCTTGCTCAACCTCCTTACTCCTAAACCTCGGAGCCTTTTTGGTCTACAGACCTTGCCCCAGTTAACAAAATGATGTTTCTTCTCCTTCCACCCCCTCCATGATAAAGATATCATCCTCTTCTCTATGGATGCTGCAATACTTGATGGAATTGGATAAAGGGACAATAAAATACACAGGAATTTAAGACAAGCCACTCCTTAGAGTAGTGAATCTGCCTCCATTTGAGAGTATCTAGTTTTCCAAGCAGCCAATGTCCTATCCACCCTTTCCCTAATTGGTTCCCAAAGTTTTTTTTTTTAATTTGCATTTGACCCCTAACTGCATGCCCAGATATTTTGAAGGCAGGTTCCCTACTTTACATCCCCACTCTTCCACCCATTGACCCAACTCTTGCACTTCCCCCATTGCCATTAGCTAACTTTTATGAGCATTAATATGTAGCCCTACCACAACTTCAAAATGGAGAATTGACATAATGTACCCTAGCTGCTCTTAAGAAGTATCACAGAAATGAACTGTAATAAAGGTACCTCCACCCTTTCAGCCCCCCATTGAAAAGCCTTCTAGGAAACCACCTGACTCAACCCTCTTAACCATTCTACTTAACGCTTCCATCACACAAATAAATAAGAATGGAGAGAATGGGTACCTTTGCCTTATACCTCTTGAATTTCTGAAACTTCCACAAGTTACTCCATTCACCAAAACCGAAATTAGAGGGGTGGGAATGCATACTTTTACCCAATTTCTCCATTTGAAAACAAATTTTATCCTTCTCAAAATATAACCCAAGAAATATTTTATGAGAGCATAGACTTGCATCACTTGAGAAAGAGAATAAAACGAAAAGTGAGGAGATGTGTAGTCTCGGGAAGAGGCAACAAGATAGCCTTTGTACTAGAGAACTTGTGTGGCCTGCAACCCTGTTTAATCAATTCCAGAATGAGACATGGCACAACCCACGTGGGCACATGATCCTAAGTGCATCTAATAAAAGTTATGCAAAAAAAGACAAAAGAAGGAGAATAATTATAAAAGCCTTTCCGAAAGATAGGAAAGTTCAAGAATCACTATAAATAGCCAAACAGAAAAGAAACTTGGATATTCCAGATAGAAAGGCGTACCAGACCTTCTCAGGAGAGAATCCCTCTCAGCTCAGGATCTTTGCCATTACAACTCATCTACACTCATCTACAGAGGAACTCTTAAAGTCTCCCAACTGCTTCCTTCAATTTTCAAACTCTATTGACCAAGACAAATCCATCCTCCTACAGTGCCAATTTACATGGTCATAGGCCTTTTCTAAATCCACATAATATTGGCAACCCGGGACTTCCACTCCTCAATTTAGCATCAATCAGCTCATTTGCTACTAAAACACCATCTGTCATAAATCTACCCTCTCCAAAAGCACCTTGACAATCGGAAATTACCTGCCCAATTAGAGGTTTCATCCTTTCTGCTAGGACTTAGAAATGGTTTCAAATACAATACCAATGAGAGTTCCAATGTCCTTTCTCCTTCGGAATAAGGATGATGAAAGTGGAGTTTAAACTTCCCTCCAAAGTTTCTGAAGTGTGAAACTACTCAAAAACCCTAATAGTAAGTCTCTCTAAATAAACTCCCAATACCACTTGTAGAATGCCATTGTAAACCCATCTAGGCCCAGAGCATTGTCCCCCTCCATCTCTTTAATTTCCTTTCAGACCTCCACCTCATAAAAACATCTCTCCAGCTCCCTTGCTTGTTCAGTTGTAATTCCCTCAAAATCTAACCGTTCCAGTTTTGGTCTATACTTCCACTTCAGTTTGAACAGAAATTCATATACAGTTCTTGATCCCACCTTCTTCTTGTAACAATCCCCATCAACTACCAACCTTTTAATGGTATTTTCACTAAGGCTACAACTTGGGTTGAGTTGGCCCAAATCCAACCCAAAAAGCATAATAACTATGTTCTTTCAACATAATACTGAATTAACATGAACTCTTAAGAGTCTAGAAAATAAGTACATTTGGCAAAAGGAAGTAGAGAAGTCAGGCCAACCCGAGCCCAACCTAAACCAACCCAATCCTACCCCAACCAAAAGTTTTAGGGTTGGGGGTCCAACCATGGTTTAAAGTATCGATACCATATGCCCTGTATCGGGCATATCGTATCGTATCTTTGGAAAAAGATACGCTCCAAAACACCCCACCTTTTTAATAAAAAAAAAAAAAAAACTTATTTTTAGCTTCCCAAAAAACCAAAATTTGAAAAAAAAAACTAAAAAAAAAGAGTTTCGTGTGTTTCTAAGTACCGATACGCGTATCGTATTGATACTTTGAACCTTAGGTTCAACAACTTGGGTTGGGTTAGGGTTGACCTCAACCCAACCTAACCTGGCCTGACTTGCACCCCTATTTTTCACACCTTCTTGCACTTGCCATTTTATGAAAGAAACTTGTGTTGTTGTCTCTATTAGCCAACCCCTAAACTTTTGCATATGTTCCCAAAAGGAAAGTTGTGATGTTTGAAAAATGAACCCCCCTCCCCTCAAGAAATCATGTAATATAAAACTCTAAAAATTTACCATTTAAATATGTATATTTTCTCTGAAAATATTCTAAGAATTCAAATTTCAGCATAGCAAAAAACAGATGTATCTGAACTTGAAGAATTAAAATAAATTTCAGGGCTAGAGGGGTTTACCCAGCAACTAGAAGAATCAGAGCAAGGATCCATAATACATATTGATAAATCTTGTGCTTAGGTTTCATGGAAGATGTATATTGTGAACTGCTTCTTTGGTTAATCCATCCAAACTGAGGTCGAATCAGGAACACAAATCCAAGAAGAAAACCTGAAACAAATCCTCCAATATGGGCAAAGTTGTCAACATGTGGGAGGATTCCCACTGCTAAATTAACTACAATGATGAAGATGAGGGTCAATAATGCTGCAAACTGCACATACAAAAGTGAAACTGTTAGGCGTTCTTGTCTTATGAAGTAACAAGAGGACATTAACGTTTCTACAAGCCCTAATTATACTAGAGACTATTCTATGGATACCTTATTTGAATATATTGTCCAATTCGTGATGAGTTCTGAAAGCATGCCTCCTAGTAATCCAAAGAGTGCACCAGAAGCACCGACGGAGATATTGGATTGGATAAATAGAGCTGACAACAAACTCCCACCAAGTCCAGAGATCACATACAGCAAACCAATTCGCACTGTAAGGGAAGGTGCAAGAGCCAGGTAAGAGTTCAAGTCACACAAGTTTACATATTTAAGGACAAGGTAATGCAGCTTCAGAATCTGATTTGACAAAAGGAATGAAACCTCATAGAATTTCATGGACAAGACAAATATCGTGTACTGTCCTTTCACTTAGTTAAAATGCTAACATATATAAATAACAAAACATAAAATGGAAGAAAATGGCATAAATTAAAATCTATGCAATGTGTTCTTGCCAAATCAATATTGTTTTTAAATAGAAAATAAAATAAAAATAGTTTACAAGAAATTAGTTACATACATTATCACCATCTAAGCCTTGTCCCAACTATATGGGGTCAGTTACATGAATCCTGTTCTATCATTCTGTTCTGTTCAGTGCCAAGTTAGTGGTCTAGATACCTTCGACAAATAAATGAATGATCAATGCCCATTTTCTGCCAAATCAGGAGAGCCCAAATTGGCTGTCAGTCAGTCATTTGAAGGCTTGTTTGCTTCAGCCTCTTTGAAATAGCTTATCCAGAGTGCTTCAAAGCAGCTGAATCTTCAGCTCAGCCCTCCATAATGGGCCCTCAATGTATATGCCAGTAATATCATAAATGAACTCTGTCACTTGATGTGCTTATTTCTTAGATATTAAATTTAACTCCTTGTACAAGGAGTTAATTGGGTTGATTCCATGCCATCTCAAGTGCCAATAATATCAAAACTTGAAAAGATTTGAGTTCATGTAAAGTTGAAAACTTCTTAAAACATACCAAAACCAAATTCCTGCTCAAGCCGAATTCCAATAAACAAGAGGCTCAACATATTAGCAAGAATATGGAAAACCCCGGCATGTAGCCAAATGCAAGAAATAAGGCGCCATGCCTGGTGTTTATGGACCACTTTATCCACATCTAGAGCCCCCATCTTCTGTAACCTGAAGAAATAGACATATAACAGTTGCTTAGATACAATCCCCTTCTTTATTATACCAATCAAAAATAAAAATAAAAATAAAACTGAAACATTGAGAGTATGTTCACTGTTTATTTTATGCATATCAAAATCTTCAACTTTTGCAACTTATACCTAAGTTAAACAACAAGTTGTTTAACATAAAAAAGAACTGCTTCAAAAGCAAACATAATATACATTTCAGCATTCATTGCCTATGTATGTCAAAGAAAGTTAACTGTTCATATCATATGTCTTATCATCTCAAGTAGGAAATGGTAGAGTATAATGATGGCTCCTGTAAATTAGGGTTCCATAATAACAGAGGGAAACTTCAAACATCTACGGGTTTAGGTACACAAGAATCAAGGAAGTAATGCAAAGGTTAGGGTCCAAGGTTTTCAACCATTAATATTTACTATATAAACTTGATACTTGCCTTGGCTTTACATCCAGGCCATAAAAGTTAAATCAGAATATTTTAATAGTACAGTAAAATAATCTTCAAGTGAGTTAAGTCATTTATACAGTAAAAGAATCTTTCCAAATTTAAATGTCTTTTCATGCTTTTATTTTTACTTCCACACATGCATGGCAATGCCCTTCCACTAGCTCAAGATAAAGGCCATTAGCCAATGTTGGTCCCACTATCTTGGGTATTGGGAGGGGCAGACTGGATACAGACCTAACTTTTGGCATTTCTGCACAAAGTGGCCATCCTCAGATGCAAACCCAAGCTCCACGCTCTCCAGCCCAGATTTTACCATTACACCAAACAACGGACCCTTCAACTATTAATTCAAGATCTAATACCTAATTAAAGAAAAACGTTTATTATGGTAGTAGCCAGGTAATCAAGAATTGGGAAAGAATAAATTGATATTAATAATTACAAAACTGAACCAAAGAGAAAGTTAAAAGAGACAAGTTAGAACAGCCACAGCTCCCTACTTCAACAAGAATTAGAATCAATGACTTTTTACTGAATCAAAATCTTGTGGAGTCAGCATGTCTAGACTGTTGCTCAGAGTCAATGCCCAAAGATGCATGGAATCAGATGCAACATCTCTTGTACATTAGCCCACTAACTTCATGAAGGAAATTAGGGAGCTGAATGGTTATCCAGGTTATATGGGTTCACCGTTCACAGATCAGCAAATTTGCATGGTGGACGGTGAACCCATGTAACCTGGATAACCATTCAGCTCCTAATTTCCCTCATGAAGTTAGTGGGCTAATGTGCAAGAGATGTTGCATCTGATTCCATGCATCTTTGGGCATTGACTCTGAGCAACAGTCTAGACATGCCGACTCCACAAGACTCGGTAAATGTTCTCAAATGTATTAAGTAATGAGTTGTCATGAGGTGAATTAGCCCTTATCTTCCCTCCTTCATATCATTTTCCAATAAAGGCTTGATCAGGACCTATTGCTAGCCTTTATTACCCAACAAGTGTTCTTTATGTAAGGCTATGATGAGGAAAACTACTATTACATTGCTTTTTTTTCTTATTTCTCAAGGGTCTAGAGCCCCTGATTTCTCTATAGACTAAATGATTCAGGCATGAATTTGTGTTGCTAACACATTTACATCCAAACAAACTACTTACTAGGGTTGGACTTCCCCATCCCAAGGAGTGGAAAGTTGAACTTTGATTACCGCTCCTTGGGTAACCCAAGACCATGAGGAATAGGAGGTGCTTTTGCAGATACAACAGGTAAGATCTTATTGGCATATTAGGGTCCAAAGGTATCAGGCAACTCACTTCAAGCTGAAATATAAATTTTGCTCCAAGGTTTTAGATTCATGGACGACGTAGGTATGCAGCAAGTGGAGATCAAGGGTGATATATAGATAATCATTTGCTAGTTCAGTGTCTCAGTGTGGAATTCAATGAGCCTCAGATTTTCTAAATTCTAATATCATGTTAGGAAGGCAAGAGCTCTGATACCTAGAAAGAACACCTCATTTAATTGGATTCAGATATATGAAAACTCTCCATAAGAAAACATTGCTAGAGGAGCAGGTGCAGGAAGAACACAATTGCATTGGAGGGGAATCAGGGGATTAACTATACAAATACACTCCTAATGGTTCTATCATTGTCCCTAACATGAGTAAGATCCGTATCTTGCTTCTTTTTTTATCAGTAAGACTCATATCTTGCCTAAACGCTTCCAGTAATGACCTTTGGATCAAAAAATTCAAGTTCTACTTTTTCTACACCCATTTTTGTGAGGGACAAAAAATAGCTTGTTTTTGTCTGGTGAAAGAAACCCGTTGGTCTCCTCTAAGAGAATCAAGATAACCCTGTATTCGTGTCTACTGTCTACCAAAAGTTAAAGGTCCCTAGCAGACAACAATAATCATACGGGAAAACAATTTGTTGACCTCTTCTAGAGGAGTTCGGATTCCCTACACTAACCGATCATTAGTGTGACAGTTGTAGAAGTTTATGTTTAGTTACCTGCACATGGAGAGTTACTGAATTTTACACACGCCCTAGATAATATCACGCGGAGATTGGTTAGAGTAGGAAGCATGAGAAATCCCGGTCTCCTTCTAGAGGGTCTCTTTCCATCACAAGAAAGATCTTGAAGTATCCCTGGTTTTTAAATTTCTTAAGATAGAACAAAATTAGAATAAGCACATATATCTGCAGAAATTCTCACTGGACAACAACTGCTCTAATTAAGCTACCGTGAATCTGCAGAAAGATTCAGGCATCATCTCATCGTCCCAATCTCATACGAGAAATGAAGACCACAATTTCTAATATCAAGGTTGGCAAAGAAACGAGCTAGCATAAAGATGCAAGTCAGACAAGAATTCAAAATGAAAAACAAAGTACACTTTATTCAAACTTCGGAGAGAAACCCTTGTTTTTTTTTTTTGACCTACTAAGGACGCTTTTTCTGGTTTCTGAAAACAGAGAATAAAATAAATGAATAAATTTCAAGTCCTAGAGCACAAGAATATTCCAGCCATTGCTCCACATAGAGCCAATTTATAGGTTCAAAAAGACCAAATAATTCAGGTTACAGAAGCTGTTCTAATACCTTAAAAAAGTTAACCAATTACAAGCGGATCACAATCTACTACATGACACCAGATAAACAAGATCAAATTCACAGAGAAAAAAAAGGGGGGAAAGATGAAGGAGAACTCACGTGGATGAGGAAGGACCCAGGAGTGGATTCTCCTTGAAGGGCTGAAACGAGAACCTCCCGAGAGAAGGAGCTACGCAAGAAACAGAGTTCTCGGGGCAATTGTTGATGTACATGGTGATCACAAACAGAACAACATTTGCAACAACAAACGACGGTATCAACCAAGGGAACCATTTCTTAAAAGGCCGAAACTCTCTGAAAAAGTACGCAGGCATCGAGGACGCCTCCGGCCCAACGGGATGGATCACGTTATCAACCCGCCTTGGCTGTGAGTGTACCTTACTTTCAATGTCCGATGGAGGATCCCTTCCCATCACGGCCAAACTGACGAAAGAAAAATCGATTCAAGCAGAGGTCAAAGACAAACAGATTTAACAGAGAACTTGTGTTACAACTTACAAACCAGAAAATGTGAGCTCGAAGATTTCCTCTCCAAATGAAGGAAGAAGGAAAAATAAAAATCGAGATTCAGATGCGATGTATTGAGGCTTAGTTGCTAATGTGAGTTTTTGGATGGAAAATGCCGCGCGAGAGAGGAGCAAGAAATTTAAAAAAAAAAAAAAAAAGTCAAATAAAGGAAAGAAAGTCTGAAAAGATCAGAGCTGAAGCTGAGAGAGAGAGTTGTTGGTTACTTTTTTATTTTTTTCGTTGTTAGAAGTAGAAGTAAGAAAGAGAGCTATACTAAACTAATAAAACCTACTTCGCGTCTGCTTCCTATTTATTACTTGCCTAATTGCCTTTTTCCTTTTTTGGTAAATATACTTGCCTAATTGCTGTTATCAACATATTCTCTCGGTGTCTCTCTCTCTTCACTAAAATTTCGGACGTGTTGGGCCCCTTTTACTTCTTCATGATTTTTATGATTTTTTCTTTGTATATTTTTCATTCTTTTCAGTTCAGACGATACCGACACTTGGCTTGGCTTCACGTCCAGCCACCGTAAAACCTCACCGATGACTTGGATCAGTCGACACCCCTCCAAAATAGGTGGTGCAGGATCAAACCCGCTGAACTATAGATTCTCGCATATGACCATGACTGTCTATCGCTATGGGGGCGCCGGCTCACACTGTAAATTTTGATAAATCCGCCTGTATAGTCTATTTATCCCTAAATTTTTTTAAATATAATATCTTTTTGGTATTATATTCGAATTGTTCTTTTAATGAAAATATATAATATCAAAAAATTTTAGTTCACTTTGTATAGTTATTTTCGTCCGGCCCCTCTCTCTCAATTTTCTCTTTCCACAATACACGTGTCATTTATATAATGTATATGCCGGGCAGAGAAACTACAGAATTGAAAACATGAGATCACATGATTGTGTTAGCTATGGCCTATGTGTATGGAAACTTTAAACTCTCACAAAAGTCACAAAAGGCTTTCTCCCACTATTATTTTAGTATTTCCCTTCATGGCAAATAGTCCTTTCACATATTTTCAGGGCCAAAGCCGTTTACAAATTTTACCATTTCATCAACTGCCTTTGCACGTCAAGTTTGAATTTGAAGGAACTATCTCATATTATAGGAGTTTGGTATTGTATACTACACATTACATGACATGAAAATCTGGATGGAGCAGAGAGTAGGGTGAATGTGAGGCCCACTAAGGATACCATGATACCATGGAGAGCTTATAATTTCACGGATTTGATCATGAGCCTCCCACTTGGGAGCTTCGATATACTATCTACGAGACATGACAACTGTGCATTAGAAATATAGTAGATCCCGAATCCCCATTTGGAGGGGTGCTAAATGACCATCTTGTCAATAGGGTCATTGGCAAGATTGGAGAATTTAACATTGTATTATGTACCTAATGGGTACCCATCACCCAATCCATAATTGCCCACTTAAAACCCCACCCAGTGGGTTGTAACCCACATAAAAACTACTTTATACTCTCTACATTGGCTAGGTGAATTATATACCATTACCAAAAAAAATTCTATGCAGCTGATTACATAAATATAATGATATATGAAGACGTCCATGCATATACTTTATATTCTCTACATTGGCAAAATAAGTACTCCAAATGGATTGAAATCAAATGGGATAAATTCAATTTGTTTATGTTAGATAAATCTTCATTTCGTTCAATATCAGAAGCTTTTATTGATTTTTTTTTTATTTATCAAAATCCTCAACTATGATATAGTATCGCCCTTATATTTTGATATATTCTCTCACATATCACTATTTTTAATTGTATAAATCAATAAAAATTTATAAAATAAAAGAAATTAAAAAATTTACTTCAATGTTAAAATTAGAATCAAATCTTATCCATCCATATTTAAATTGAATTTGCAATTAAAGTAGGCATATCTTAATAATTCCGTACCCTAGATAGTAGTACAACAATTTTGAGAAAGGTGTTTTGTACACCAATTATCACCATCTTTTTGCCAGTGAGTAAAGAGTTTCGGCACAATACTTGAAAGATCATACGCCTTGTAGAAGATAATTATAAACATATAATATTATTCAAACCAACTTTACTAATTTATAGATAAAAGAGATATTAAGGGTGTAAGACAATATCAAGTCTTCAAGCTGGCAATTGACAAAGTAAGCGTCCACATGGGCAATTCAGAGGAGCAGATTGAATTGGCCAAATCGTGAAGAAATGTATGAGCCGAAAACCCAGTATTTGATTGCCCATCTCATTCAACCATCCAGAAAAATATATGTGGGTTTTGTTTTGTTTTGTTTTGTTTTCATAACTTAGGAGTACTCTGCTCAACTACTTTATTATATCATGCCTTATATAGACCGTTAGATTACCCAAATTAATACAATTATTGCGGTTTACGATCATCTAACATGATATTTTTGTCAACGGGACAGGCCAACAGCCCTATTAGTTTTCTATTTTCTTATGAAATATTTTTTTATTGGCAACCAAACACTATCTAGAATTTTTCATTAATCTATAACCTATATATAACGCTCCCTATTTCGTCAGTCATCAAATAATTTTATTTCTCAAAAATGCCCTTTTGAATTAATATATACCTAAATTATCTATTTTGACTCTCTTTCTCTCTCTCTCTCTCTCACCTGTATTCTACTAATGTTCTATTTAATTCTATCGGATGAATTTACATAATTATATGTAAAATATAATTTAATTTATTATATTATATATCAATTTATATATAACAAATTCAATATTTTATTTTTATATTAATACATATTTATTTATATTTATATAAGCTAGGAAGTAATTAACTTTTTTATTTTTTTCTTTATTTTAAAATGTTGAAGCGGAATCAGATTAAATTCAATCAAAGGTCTTCAAATTTAATCGGATTTCAGATCGAACTCGAATTAGGAATTCAGTATTCATTAACCAAATTGGATTCGAGTGTTGGTGAATCTGATCTTTTTACGGTCCAAAATATTTTGACTTGTTTTTGGTTCTCACCTAAGTTCTATAGGTTTCAAAGTCCTACTCAGTTATTGACCAATATTGATCGACCCTAAGATGAATGAGATAAATCTTTAAATTCATGATGAACAACTAAATTAGGAAATGATATTGGATTTCACTTGTGATTAAAGGACTCCGGATTTAGTGGACCCTTAGGTTCACGGGATGCGCAAACCCTCCAATAGGAGGCGTGTACGTCGACTCCTTTGAACCAAATTAACATAACAGCTTTCGCCCACTTCCTCTAAGCCTGGCCAGCGCTGATTCCTCGGATTCTAGGCTCCTCGTCGTTTTCTTAATTTTTCTTTGAATCCGTAGAACGGAGAAGCTTCAGTTCAAGGGTGTACAACGGATTCACTAGATCTCTGTCTCGCACTGCTCAGATAGCAAACAAGCAGCATTTTCACAATCCACAAGTGGGTACTCATTTGCTCAATTATTTAATTAGTTCTAGTTTCTGGGTTGTGTTAATGCCAGCACAGAATTTCAGTGCACCGGCGACGACGGGGATCAACCAGGCGGCACCAATGGTGGGGGCAGCAAAAGTTATTAAAATTTTAATAACTTTTATATTTTCATTATTTTTAAATTAAATTTTGATTGACTTTAAATAAATAAAAGTAATTACAAAAGCTAATAATTTTTATTATTAATTTTACTAATAATTAACAATTATATTGAAATGGCAATGGAGAGGTTAGAGGCGGGGCACCCCATCCTTGTTTTGTCCCCAATGTCAGGTGTGTTCAGGGCAAGGCACCCACTCCCCGTTAGGGACGGGAATCCTTGAATTTCCTTGCCTCATCCTAGGGTCAGGCGAGTTTAGGACAAGGCACCCACTCCCCATCAAGGGTGGGGAATCCTCGAATTTTCCACGCCTCGTCACTAGTGTCGGGTGATTTCAAGGCAAGGTACCACACTCCTCATCAACCCAGTATTCAATTTGATGACAAAAATGATTAGAAGGATATGCAAAGTATTAGACACATGGTAATTTTCTAAAAGTAAACTAAATTGTCTTTAATTTTCAAAAATGTAATTTTATGAAAGCTTTGGAAAACTTATTACATTTGTGTAACTTTGAAAATTTATTCAAATTTATTTTAAAATGTTATTAAATAATTTATTTTCTTTTTAAATGGTTTACTTACAGAATTACACTAATTTATCTTATGTTTTCTAATATAAACTAATCAATAATTTCCTTTTTCCAATATTATACTAATTTATCTTAATAACTTGTGTAATTATTGGTTCAAATTATAACTTTCCCTTTCCCATACCCATTTATTTTTAATAATTTTCAATAACTTACAATGAAAATTACATAATTTTTCAATAGTTTCCAAAATCTATGAAATGTAATATATTTTCCTAAAATTTCCAAAATATTCCAATAAATTTTAATAATTATATAATACATTTTAAATAAACTTTCAAAAAATTTCCAAAAGTAGTATAATATTATATCTTTTAGTTTCCAATATGTTATTTTAGAAAAATGTAGTTTTATGACAATTTTTGAAAATTTTATTACATTTGTGTAATTATGGAGATTTATTAAAAATTATTTTAAATCATTATTAAATATTTATTTTTATTAAGTAGTTTACTAACAAAATTACACTAATTTATCTTTCATTTTCAATATAAATTAATTAATAATTTAATTTTCCAATATAAATTAATTAATAATTGTTATTAACTATAATAATAGAAATAACTAAAATTTTATGCTTTTTTGTAATTGTTAAATATAATTCTCACTTCTCAAATTTATAGGAATTAGTTAAAGAGTTTTCAATTTCTATAAAATGTTGTTAATTAACATGAATATAACAATATTTACCCAAAAGACTTTAAAATGTCATGATGAGTTAATTAATAACAGTATTTATTAATTTTTCGGTAATTTACCATACTAATAAGAACATTTAATTGTTGGTAATTTACTAATTGTATTTATTAACTTTTGGTAATAACAATATTAAAACTCATTGAATATGGGTTGGATTAAATATTAACCGCATTTAACTATTTGTTAATTAATATAAATATTTTAAATGAGATATAGTGGATATAGATTGGGAGGAGAGATTTTAGGAATTGATTGAGGAGTGGGGTAAGATGGTACTTTCAAACATGGTTTTGAAAAACGAACCGGTGACCGAACCGATCAAGGGTCTGGTTATCGGTTCGAACGGTCTGACCGTTTCGACCCAA